CACACACACACACACACACACACACACACACACACACACACACACACACACGCGCGCGCGCGCACACACACACTCTCTGCTCTTTCTGCAGGTTGTGCCCCTGATGGCGTCGTTGTCAAACGATCGTACCAGACGAAATGCAGCCTTAATATTAATTATAATGCTGACTCTTTGTAAATTAAAATTCATTAAGAACACCCGCGAATGCACATGCATGCACCCAAGCTCCCCTCCCCTGTATTCCTGCAACTCTTTTTCCGTCTCCCACTTTCTTCCTCCTCTTTATTCTTCTCTTCCTATTTCTCTTCCTCTCCCCCTTTATCATTCTTTGATCTACATCTGTATTTCCCGAACTTACCAACTCTCAACCTCCACCTCTTTGTTCGTCTCACACACTCATATCCATGCACACATGCACATGCATGCGAACAGATGTAATCAATTAAACACAGATGTGATTAGTTAAACTATTTTTGTCCAAAAAGTCGTGCACATGACGTATCTAGTGTTGAATAATCTGTGTGTTTCTTCATAGGTCTAAATATGTATTTTTTTCTTGCAGATCTATACGTATTTTACATTTCATATTTTCAGTTGAAACAAATAGAAGAAAATAAGAATGAGCTCAAATAATGTGTCATAACAACATAAATCTAGAATCTATAACTCAAGACTGAAACAGAGAAACACAATATTTATTTCCTTGGTTTGATACTATACAATACTACGATACGATAATGAAAGGACCTTCCTAATCAGTGTTATGCTTTTTAAAATGAGCAAGCGTGAAATCTCCTCGTCGTCCCTTGTCGGAGATGTCACACACACATTATCTTCATTTCTTCTTTCTTTTTGCAGTACACAACGCCACCCCCTCCCCCTCTCTCTCTTCACAGTTTTAATTAATTATTTGTCACAGGGACGGTAGAGTTGCCGTGAACGTGTCGTAGGTCCACTCGTAGTTTACGTGTTTGGCTGGATGTGTGTTGCTGCTTTCATATTATGTAAGCCCCTGTTTTAATCTGTGTATAAGTATGTGTCTGTGTGTGTGTATGTGTGAGTATATGTGTGTGCGTTTAGTTTTTTCTGTGTGTGTATGTGTGTGTGTGCGCGCGCGCGCGCGCGTGTGTGTGTGT